GTCTGCCAGAATACTTTGTTTGCCGTGTGGAAATTCGACTCCAACACCTAACCGAACTTCTCCCAGGAATCAGCCTTGGCTTTTGCCACTGCTATCGCTGCCGCCTTGCGTGGCTCGGCATATCGCACGCGAGTAGAAGGCTGTTTGTTTCCAAGCCATTTCTTGAACGCTGCTTTCTTCTCTTTAACTGCCTGTTGTACTTATCGCATCCTCCAGGAATATTTCTTCTGACTCCAGGCGACAGGCCAACCCGTTTAAATCAGCAGTATTCGGCGGCATCATCGAGTATGCCGCCCTTAAAGCGCTGCCACTCGGTTTCCACATCAGTGGTCATCGCCGAGATCTGTTCAAACCGTCATGCGATGTTGTTTGCAAATTTCGCTCTCGTGTCCACCGAAGATAATGTTTCCCATTTGATTCTCCGGTTACTCTTCCACCAGATCTTCGTGTGGTACTCCATTTCTTACAGCGCAGCGTGCCAACAACAAGGCGAAGCTCTGCGCCTCTCTTAACGTAAACATCCACTACTATCAGACGATAGAATTATCTAATCGATCATCGACTTCTGTGCAAAGGTTCCCGGTACTAGGTATACTGATACACGCTTCAGTGCTCGAAGGTTCATAATGGGCAGTCCGTTGTTTGCACAAAACCCAGCAGTTTCATGCTGTTATTGTTGAGGTTACTAGGGTGGTTCTTTCCAATCACACATTTCCACTTGTCGATGTCTATTCCGATATGGGCATTGAAATCACCCGTTAGAATTAGGGACTTAAATCGGAACATATTCGACTTCCTCAAGGAAGAACTAATGTTCATCCTTCAGTTTGGGCCCAGAGACCTGTAGCAAGTTCAATGCTTTAGCCTGTTGAAGCTTCAGGCAGAAGATTTCCACTCTTCCATTTGCGGGCTTCCACTCAATGATTCTAGTAGCCATGTTGGGTTTTTCAAGAACTCGGGTCTGAGTGTTGTCGACACAGCGAAGAAGTTTAGACTTCCATAGCTTTAGCGCTTCGTGGACAAGGGTGCAACTCTCTCGAGCGACCTCTTCAGGTAGCTCCTACTGTCTCCATTGAGTGAGGATCTTCTAATTTCTGACTGTTAGCTCCCACTGACGGTTCGTTCCCATTGAGCGTTTTCTGACTTGCTATAATGGTACGGCGCTGCTTGTCTCCGTTGGTGATTGGTATGTTCGTCGATCTTCGGCAGGCGTTGTCATCTGCTACGTCTACGGCCACCAGAAGGCGATGAGCAGGCTTTGATCGCAAACTACCTCAGTCCCCCCAACAGCGTGTGTGGCCCTTGGTAAGCCGGGCGACGATCGAGGCGGTATAATGTTCGGTGAGGGCAATACCATGAGGAACAGATGGCTAAGGTTAAGGTTTAAGCAGACTTCGCTGCGGTCTCCAGCCATCCTCCGGGCTTTTGACCGGCAATAGCGGCGTTACGTGTGATTAGCTTATTATTAAATTCATCGTCCGCACGCTTTGCAACATCAAAGCCAAGCGCCAAAAACTCATTGACTTTTAATTTCTGTTCTTTTTTCTGTGGATTTCATGTTTATATTTGTTTTACACTTATAGCATGGTTTATACAGTAGCACTGTACCACAAGCTAATGATCCTTGTGTTTTCTTTATCTTTGAAAGATCACGAAGGTTCTGCGTTCAGGGATAAGATGAATAATATGCAGTCCTGTAATTTAGTGGCTGCATGAACAGTGATTGCTGAAGTAGAGGAACATTTCGACTAGCAACGAAACTATTTATAATTCACAATTAGAAACCATAGAATTTTTATTCAGCAATTCCAAAACAAACTTGAACATTAATTCTACAAACGGGCAAGACTGTTCTAAGTTTAAAAAAAATCAATACGAAAAGCTGAACCCGTTACAAAAAGAAAAGTCATACATGTGAACAGCACTATTAATGCAACACAACCTTGTCACGCCGGGAACTAAACTCAACAAGGTCTGTTCGCATTGCGTTACAACTTACGGCACTAAGGCTTTAGTAGTGAGAGAATTCGTAATATCACAGGAAGTAATCTAGATGGCACCAGATTTCAAATACGTGTCTGAAAAGTCGTCCAACTGCGAACAGATGAGAGAAGCCCTTTCCCTAGAAACACGCATTTAAAAACTAAGCGTCACAAGAAAAAACCACCTCGTGTTTAGAAATCGCTTTGCAACCGATTCCATTTCATCAACTTGCTTCGAAAGTTTATCAATTTCAGATTTTGCCATCTTGTGCGATTCTGACGCCATTGCGTTTAAACAAGAGGTTACATCTTCAATTTCTCTAAAAGATCCAAAGTAAACAAATAATGATAGTTCTCAAAAACTAAAATAGGGATATATACACCTACAGATTGAGGTATATCTATTGGTATTTGAATAGATTTTGTTCGACAACGACATGGTGATGCTGTGCGCCAATGCATTACAGGTGTTTAACTATCATGGAGCCGTATCCTGGTTAAACAGGCAATAAAGCTACTACAAGCAAGAGCAATGTGCGACTACGTCGCAAGAATTCAGAGAAGTAACGAGATTATTATTATTATTTGCTGGTGGTATAAAAAACTATCAATTTTACAGTAAACGCACAAAACCGAGGTAAACTCCTATTTGATCTATGATTTTCATCGACATAACTCAGTTCCTACTCTAACCTGAAACCAATGCTAAGTGATATTAGCGGAGTTTAGAATCATTCTAGGAGCGCAGAGTAATTGGAAAAACAATGTTTTTTGCATTTATCTGCGCGTTCGACGAGTTTCCGACCGAAGGGAAGAATTAACTTGCAATGAAACGGCTATCATCGCTTTGTGGTTAACACAGTGCAATGCGTACTGCCTGCAGAATGTTCTTTATTTCTAATTACCACTGCGTAATTCACTTTCTGTTGGAAATAATGGGGGCTACCGGAGGTACTGTTCATTAATTTTTCTTCATTATTTATTTACTCCTTACACGTAGAATGCATACACCAGCAGGAATACCGCAATACTTTATGGGTCATACCAGAAAATGAAAAAGAAGGAAAGCCTTTAACCAGGGGGATGTCGGTTTCCCTTTTATGACTGAACGCCATTTCCAGCGCTGTTGCCCACCATGAAGTTTATTGTGCGGCACTGCTCTATTTCCACACCATCAGCCGCGAGCGATGTATTTTAAAGGCAGAGTCGACAGCAGGTATAGCGTTTAATCCTATGATATCTTTCAGCTTTGAAAGAAGAAAACAAATGACCTGACGAGCGCTCAATCCCAGGAACTCTAGGATCTGAGTGCGACGTTCTACCGACTGAGAAACCTTGGTTATAAAAATACGATGAAAAGAACAGTTTGGATGATAAGAACCGCAATATTCGATATAATAACGTTGATCAGACATTGTCGTACGTCTGAACGGTGGCATGTGTTATGTTTGTTATCAGCGAAGATATCACTATAAATATATTACCTCTGAACTTGCGTTTTGCAGTTGGTAGACAATGTTGGCGATATCTGCTTCAGCTTCTTTGCAAGATGTTCCCTCAACTGCTTTTTGAGACAGTTCTCTTTGGCACGCGAGTTCCAGCTCATTCGTTCGTACGCGTAAAATAGGAAGTATAGAGCAGCTCCGGAAAAGATCAGCCGCCAGCCGACTGCTCTGTATATCTAAAAGAAAACGGCCATCCGTTATATCGTAATATCAAAAAACGAAAACTGTTAAGGGATCTTACGGCTATAGCAGACTTAAACTGTGCAACCTTAGAAAGCGACGTGAATCGCTTAAACTAACCAACTTTTCTAGACAGATGCTTACAAACTTAAAAAGCTTGGATACCTTGCAAGCCAGCATTAAGTTCTTTTGAAAATACGAATACAAAACTAAAAAATGCTACAACTTCATAACTAATCGATGTTATGATTAGGATAGTTGATAAAAGACATAATGAGCGTTGACTTCTCAAACGTCATTGCTCCATTCCGTAAGAAAGAGGATGCCTTCATGCACTGCGTGGACTAAAATGGTAAACTTCTGTAACAGCCCCTTTCATCTCTGCAAAAACATGGCTGGTAGCAAAAAATTGCTTTTCCCTCCAGGTCGCTACATTTCGCATTTCAGCGCCGTTAGTAAATAATTATACAATCAGGAAAAAACATCCTAAATTCCTGGAGGTGATTGTACTACCGGCTTATGATTAGAAAAGAACCACGTGCTCCTGAAACTTGCTGATCCTCTGAGATAAGAACAGCATAAAAAGACAGTCTCTTACAGGTGGCATGTTGAGTACGAAAAGTATTTGCAGGGATGTCTTATGATTATGGAAACAATGTGTATACCATTGAGCCGCAATCCAGTACTATACTACAACCGAATCATGGCGTCATCAGTGCCACCTTAAGCACGAACGAGCCAGGAAGCGGTGTCACAACGCTGTATATTCAGGTTTAGTGGAATCATGCTAAGAAGAAATTGCTTAACATCTGATTCGTTCGAGAAATATTCAGAATGTTGAGATCAGTCGTTTACATTCTTATACTACTGGTCAAAACCGAAATGACAGAGAGATCGCTCAGCGATCGATCAGTATTTTATTGAACATATATGCCGCCTGTAGAGCCCCAAGACATTCAAGATCCAACGTTGTAAGCTTACGAAATATGCTAATCACGGTAGTTCACGTTGAGGAGGATTACAATAAAATTTTAAGTTGAATGATTAAATCACTTAGAAGTGCACACTGTTAGAAATACTGCTATATTCATAATTGAATAAGGTTCAAGCTTGAGAATCAGAATCTAAGAACCGTCTTAGACACTTACCAAACCTCCGATTAACAAGACGCCGACACTCCCGTTTGCGACATATGAAGCACTTGTGTACACAATGGAATTCATCAACACATTTTCAGTGGCGCAGACATCGGTAGTTTCGGTACCATCGCTAGGTGTATCCGGAGAGATGCCTTCAGGTATCTAAGAAATAATGTATATTAGTAAGCGAGTCTGGACGATAATATGAACATACTTCATAATCTTAACACATCTATAATACTTATCACAACACAGTACACTCATAGTATCAACATGATCATGATATATTTGATGGTGCACTGGTAGTCATGCTAAAACAAGGTATATGCGGTTAAATTACATATGCGCAAAACATCTATCTATCGAGTAATGTTTCCGCCACTGTCTCATGGACTTCTTTAACATAAAAATGAATGACAGTACTTGGTTGATGTTGAAGTTGTCATCAGCAGCAGTAGGTTCATTTTTCTTTATAAACCTGTACGACTCAGAGCGAGCCAACTGCCAGGCGACATCAACGCCAACTAAAAACTGCTAGTATTACCTCAAAGAAGGCCTCGTGCTACGGGCTGAAACATCGACGGTGGTCTATCATAGAACAGTCTGAATACTTTCCACTGCAAACAACTGTTTCTCTTCTGGTTCATCATTACAATGTACTCGCATACAGAATCTTAACAGAATAATAGAAATCGTTTCATTTAAGCATCAATCAATCACCCAACAGAAAGTCATATTGTGTTGTGCATCAGTGAACTATTTTTTAATATATCCGTAATACCGCAAAACACATATTGGTCAAATTCAGAAATATAAATCGTAATATTCATACACACAATTGTAAAATTTCATAATAGGAATTAGCAACTTCAAACCTTCCAATCGCAATACATCAGATTCATTATGATGCACTAAGTTCATATATGGATATAGGCTAATTATATGGTTAACCGCATTCACATCACCATTCCACCTTATTTTATAGATTTAATAGAAAATGCGCTTAAAAACCAAAAACATCGGCTACCCGAGGGCCAACCGGAACTTACATACTTTGCATTTAGTAAAGAGCTTAACTGTAAACGCAAATAAAATTCTCAGTGCAATTATTTAAGAAGCATAATATCAGATAATTTCATGCTTTTCAGGCTGTCGCGCTTCTTTTACAGTCGATTATAGCTGAGCCAATAACGGTAAACTTCTTGAACGAGGGTGCTAACTGTCAACAGTGAAAGTTCCCTTCCTCGTACCAGTTTGGGGTAGAATGTTTGGCTTATATATGATGAATGAACCATCAAAACGATGGATGACAGAAATGCGCTTGCCACCTCTGATTAATGTCGTTATAGCTCCTTGGCGCAACGGTTTCAACGCCGATTATGCACCGCCGAAAATGAAGAAACTGCTGCTGAAGATGTTGATGCACCTAGTCACATCCACGGGTAAAACGGTCAAAAATTAGTTACTGATTCCAGAGTCAGAGAAGAGACTGACCGTAGAAAGAAGCAGTTGGAGAAGTATTATTCTCTAATGAGCTTTCTAAATCAAAAAATGATGAAGTTAGCGTCGATGACCTGCTTGAACAAAAATCAACAGGGAGGAATCGCTGTTCAGCCTTGCAATATAACCAAAATGTCGGCAACGTCGGATCGATTGAAGTTATTAATGATTCGCATGTAGAACACTTCCTCATAATATCATGAAGTTCAATTAAATTAATTGCACCACCTGACGACGATG